ATTACCTGAAGTCAGGAGTTCGAGACCAGCCTGGCCAACATGGTGAAATCTCGTCTCTATTAAAAATACAAAAAAATTCGCTGGGCGTGGTGGCACATGCCTGTAGTCCCATATCCTCGGGAGCGTGAGACAGGAGAATCGCTTGAATGCAGGACGTGGAGGTTGCAGTGAGCCAAGATCATGTCATTGCACTCCAGCCTGGGTGACAGAGCAAGACTTTGTCTCAAAAAACAAAAAACAAACCAAAAAAATTAGCTGGGTATGGTGGCAGGTACCTGCAATCCCAGCTACTCAGGAGGCTGAGGCAGGAGAATCATCTGAACTGGAAGGCAGAGGTTGCAGTGAGCCAGATTGCACCACTGCACTCCAGCCTGGGCAATGGAGCAAGACTCCACCTAAAAACGAAAACAAAAAAAACAGTAACGGCCAGGTGCAGTGGCTCATGCTTGTAATCCCAGCACTTTGGGAAGCTGAGGAGGGTGGATCACCTGAGGTCAGGAGTTTGCGACCAGCCTGGTCAACATGGCAAAACCCTGTCTCTACTAAAAATACAAAACTTAGCCGGGCGTGGTAGCGTGCACCTGTAGTCCCAGTTACTCGGGAGGCTGAGACAGGAGAATCGCTTGAACCCGGGAGGCAGAGTTTGCAGTGAGCAGAGATCACGCCGCTGCACTCCAGCCTGGGCAACAGAGCGAGATTCCCTCTCAATAAAAAAAAAAGAAAAAAAGAAAAAAAATGCCAGCGCTCAGCCATGACCTGCTCCACCCAGGCCTAAGGACACCTCAAGCTCTGCCCTGTACCCACCTCCCCCAGCTGCCCATACAGGCCTCAGGTTTCCATTTTTCCTCTTCAGGGATGGCAAGCAAAGACCTCTTGAATCTTTGATTTCCCTTTAATATATTAACTTAATTAGCTCATTCTAAGGTGATAGCTTTCTGCTGTATGCTTTTGAACTTAACTCGGCAAATTAACATTTGTGAATAGGATTCAGTTATGAATTTTAATGACTTTCATTCATTCACAGTCCAAACAAATTACATATCTAGTGCTTCCTTTAAAATGTTTACTGCCATTTTATTATAATCATTAGCAATGAAACCACATATTAATTTAAAGAGGCAACTGCACGGATTCTCTCTCCAAGCGGCATGCGCAGTGTGGCCCACTGTCCCGAAAGCAGCTAAGGACTGGACTTTTATGGTTACAACTGGCCCTGGAGAGGGATGGACTATGGCAAGGTGACAGTTAAAGCCAACGGCCCTGCATTAGTACGTTCTGAAAGGCACCTGCTCAGAATGCAGCGTATCTCTTGGTGGCCTTCTAGAAGTTGAGGCCTACAGCCATTTTCCCACACTTCACTCACGTAGATGGCTTTCGAAGTCTGTGAGCTGTGCTTGTTTTCTTTCTTTCTTTTCTTTCTTTTTCTTTTTTTTTTTTTTTTAAGGGGGAGTCTCTCTGTCTCCCAGGCTGGAGTGCAATGGCAAAGTCTCGGCTCACTGCAACCTCCGCCTCCCGGGTTCAAGCAATTCTCCTGCCTTAGCCTCCCGAGTAGCTGGGATTATAGGCATGCGGCACCAAGCCCGACAAATTTTTTTTTATTTTTTATTTTTAGTAGAGATGGGGTTTCACCATACTGGCTAGGCTGGTCTTGAACTCCTGACCTCAGGTGATCTACCCGCCTCGGCCTCCCAAAGTGTTGGGATCACAGGTGTGAGCCACCGCACCCAGGCTTTGTTTTTCCTTTTTCAAGTTTTGTTAGATGATAAGAAGAGAGAAGTGACTCTGAACAATAAAATAAGAGAGGAGAAAGGCGTGGCTGGAGTCTCCCAGCTAAGGACCCACCCCTAGGCCCCTGTGTGTCAGAGCACATGCAAGCAGTAGGAAGCAGTATCAGCCCAGCAGAGCCCCAGTAATGGGCTGGAGGCACAGGGCTTCAGGAACATGGGGAAAGCGGTCATCTGATGGCTGGAAAATCCTGGCTTGGGCCAGGTGTGGTGGCTCACAGCTGTAATCCCAGTAGAAGGCCGAGGCAGGTGGATCACTTGAGGTCAGGAGTTCGAGACCAGCCTGGCCAACATGGTGAATCCCCGCCTGTACTAAAAACACAAAAAAATTAGCTGGGTGTGGTGGCGTGCGCCTGTAGTCCCAGCTAATCAGGAGGTTGAGGCAGGAGAATTGCTTAAATCCGGGAGGCAGAGGTTGCAGGGAGCCAAGATCCTGCCACTGCCCTCCAGCCTGGGCGACAGAGTGAGACTCCATCTCAAAAAAAAAAAAAAAAAAGGTCTCCAAAAAAAAAAAATTCTGGTCTGCTGGCTCAGCCTGCTCGAGGGCTGAGTTTTCACCAGCGCCCCCAGGAGGAGCCTGAGGTCACTGCAGGTGCCTGCCCAGCCCAGCATTCCTGGGTGGCCCCTAAGGGGTGATGGGACCTGAAGAGCTGTTCATACCCGCACATTCTCACAATGTCTGAAAAAGGAAAAGGAAGTACTATTTGGTAGTCAACTATGTGTTCCAGATATATGTGGGGTGAACATTCTATTTCAACATCTATTCTCTTGCTCATTTACTGGCACAGTGCTTATAAAATGTCTAAGTGGCAACCCCTTGTGCGTGTGCCTAGTTGGGGAAGGCGAGGGTGAAACAGAGCTGTGCTGTGCAGTACAACTGTCAAAAGTCACTTGCGACGGTTCTAATTGAAATTAGTTAAAATGAAATACAATTAGAAATTCAGCGTCTGCACCAGCCGCACCAAGCACTGGCTACCATACTGGGCCGCGCAGACCAGGTCCATCCTGACAGAGTTCCATCAGACAGTGCTGGTCTAGGCGCCCACGGTGGGGCACCAACGGTCCTCTTTAGTGTGAGATGCCCACCCAGCTTCACATTTGCACTCCAGGCCCAGCCCTCTCCTGGGCTCAAGCACCCTGGAAGCAACCTTCACTGGTTCTGGAAACAAGATTTAGACACACTTCCCTCCCCCTAGACTCACAATCACCCACCACTCACTACCACCTGCTTTATTTTCATGTGGCCCCAGTAACCAATTACCGTCAACTCGGTGGCTTAAAACAACACAAATGGGCCAGGCGAGGTGGCTCACACCTGTAATCCTGGCACTTTGGGAGGCCAAGGCAGGTGGATCACCTGAGGTCACGAGTTCAAGACCAGCCTGGCCAACATGGTGAAACCCCATCTCTATTAAAAATACAAAAATTAGCCAGGCGTGGCAGTGGACACCCATAATCCCAGCTACTTGGGAGGCTGAGGCAGGAGAATTGCTTGAACCTGGGGAGCAGAGGTTGCAGTGAGCTGAGGTCACACCACTGCACTCCAGCCTGGGGGACAGAGCGAGACTCCGTCTCAAAAAAAAAAAAAAAAAAAAAGCAAAACGAACAAACAAACAAAACACCCAAATGTATTACCTCATATCCTGGAGGTGTCAGGAGTCAAAAAGGGGTTGACCCGACTGTGTTCCACCCGGAGGCTCCGGGGAGAATCCGTTCCTTGCCTTTTTCAGTTTCTAGAGGTGCCTGAGTACCTTGGCTTCTGGCCCCGCACCTCTCTGGCCTCTGCTTCTGCTGCCACATCTCCTCTGACTCTGACCCTCCTGCCTCTCTCTTGTAAAGATGCTGGCGATTGTTTTGGGCCCACCAGAGAACCCAGAATAACCCCCCATCCCAAGATCCTTCACTTAATCATTTCTGCAAAGCCCCTTTTGCCACGTAAGGTGACCTAATCACAGGTTCTGGGAATGAGGGCATGGACTTCATTGGGGTCCATGACTCTGCCTCCCTCCCTATCCTCCCTGAGCTCCACCACGCTCGGCCAAGAAAGAAACAGGCAAGTCCCCAGGGCCGAATCCACTCCCCTCTAACCCCAGGAATGCCCTTGCCCACATGGCTCAGGAAGGGCGGGTGACCGACGCATCTCCTCCCCTGGCCCAGATGCCACCCAGAGCCTCCTCAGTTCTCAAAACCTTTCAAAATGTTTCAAAATCTACCCTGGGTGGTCAGGTGCAGTGGCTCACGCCTGTAATCCCCGCACTTTGGGAGGCTAAGGTGAGTGGATCGCTTGAGGTCACGAGTTCGAGACCAGCCAGGCAACATGACCACACTCTCTCTCTACTAAAAATACAAAAAAAATAGCCAGACATGGTGGCAGGTGCCTGCAACCCCAGCTACTCAGGAGGCTGAGGCAGGAGGATAGCTTGAACCCAGGAGGCGGAGGTTGCCGTGAGCTGAAATGGAGCTACTGTACTCCAGCCTGAGAGGCAGAGCAAGACACTGCTCCTGCCAGCCCAAAAAAGGATTGTATACCAGAAATAAGCAAACAAGCTGAGAGAAGAGGTGAGTTTGAGATCATGCGGCTGATAAAGGGTATTAGGGAGGACAGGTTACGATGCAGTAACAAGGACCCCTAAATCTCAGTGGCTGAGTCCAGCACAAGCCTGTCTTCTCTATGCCTGTGTCCAGCCTGGGTGTTAGCAGGGTGCACGGTGATGCGGGGATCAGGGATGCAGAGTGACCAGGCACCGTCTCTGCCTCACCCAGGCCTGTACGTGACCACGAGATGCAGCTGCCCACTGGCTCCGGAAGCTTCTTCCCAGCACGACACGCCCCACATCCACACCTAAGCACATTCCGTGACCACGCCCTCCTTGAAGGTGGTGGGAAGTGTATGCCCAGCGGGCAGCAGTGACAGAAGCTGGGGTGGGAACCCCAGAGACCCCCATCCGCTACCCACTGCCGGTCCCCCCACCAGGCACAGAGCAGCGAGCACGCCCCCCCGCCCCCACCAGGCACAGAGCAGCGAGCACACAATCCCCCACCAGGCACCAAGCATCGAGCCGCAGCCTCAGTGAGGAGCTCAGGCTTTATCTTTCCTGCAGGGTTAAGCTTGGCTGCTGGAGACAAAAGTCTGGGGAAAATGTCTCTGGACTCTGAAGCGCCCCACAGCTCCCAGGCTCCAGGGCATAGGAGCAGGCACATCCCTGGCTCACTTACTATTGCAGACTGACGCCAAACTGCTGGGTGGGCAGCGGGGGCCGCGGGGGCGGCGTCTTGGTGGGAGGCGGCATCCGGCCCTCGTGCAGGCTCTGGAGCTTCTCATCATACCTGCAGACACAACAGAGGCCGGGCTCTCACCTGGCAGGGGCAGCTGGCATCCATGGAGGCGCTGGGTGGAGCTGGCTACCCCACAAACACCTGCAGGACACCTGGGCGTCCCCTCCCTCGGGACACACACACCATGCTGCCAGCTCACACACATTCACATTCACGCGGTCACAATCCCCCACTGCTGTCGGCTATTCTTGCAACAGGCAGTAGCCCAGTCCCCAGCAAGTGTCCATTCTCTCCTGCGACCCCTGGCCAGCGGGCCTACCCTGGCCAGCAGAGTGGCCTCACCCGTTTGCCCATGCGGCCAGCCCCGAGGTGGGCGTGACCACCCTCAGCTCTCCTGAGTGTCTGAAATTAAGACAAACGCTGGCTTGTAATGCTAAAGGGGACTTGTCCCTTTTGTTAATTACTTTGTCCCCAGTGTCTGGAAAGGGCTTGCTGCCTAGTAGATGCTCAATTAAAATATTTGTTGAATGAATGAAGAAAGCCATGAACAGCTGGACTCTGAAGAGGATGGATAAATTCTGAAGGAAGCTTAACGTTAAAGCCTTCCAGTAAAAAGAACCTCTGTGCTGGGCGCGGTGGCTCATGCCTGTAATCCCGCACTTTGGGAGGCCAAGGCAGGCGTTTCACTTGAGGTTAGGAGTTCAAGACCAGACTGGACAACATGATGAAACCCCGGTCTCTACCAAAATTACAAAAATTAGCTGGGCATGGTTGTGCACGCCTGTTATCCTAGCTACTTGGGAGGCTGAGGCAGGAGAATCACTTGAACCCAGGAGGTGCAGGTTGCAGTGAGCCAAGATCGTGCCATTGCAGCCTGGGCGACAGAGCAAGACTCTACCTCAAAAAAGAAAAGAAAAGAAAAGAGCCTCTGTGCAGCAGGTAACAGTCCTCCCTCAACACAGTCCTCCCCCAACACAGTCCTCCCCCAACACCGTCCTCCCCCAACACCGTCCTCCCCCAACACAGTCCTCCCCCAACACAGTCCTCCCTCAACACAGTCCTCCCTCAACAGTCCTCCCTCAACACAGTCCTCCCTCAACAGTCCTCCCTCAACACAGTCCTCCCTCAACACAGTCCTCCCTCAACAGTCCTCCCCCAACACAGTCCTCCCCCAACACAGTCCTCCCCCAACACAGTCCTCCCTCAACACAGTCCTCCCTCAACACAGTCCTCCCTCAACACAGGCAAATACATATTGAGGCCCTACTATGTGCCGGGCACTGTGCATACAGCAGTAACCTGGCCACAGGATGGGGGGAGAACATGATCATTAGTCAGCAGTTCAGGAGCAAGGCAGTCAGTGACACAAGACGGTGCAGGCACACGTCGCAGAGGCACCCGGCACGCAGGGAAGCTCTGCAGAGAAGGCGGCACACTGGACTGAGCCTGGCCAGCCAAGCAAGTGTGAGCCGCTGCCACGTGCGGTTGGGTTGTCCTTGGTGAGTTAATCACAGCGCTCTGTGTCCCGAGTGGCTCCCCAGAGGTCTTTGTCCCTCATGAGGGGCCTACCATGAAAGGGTTATTTTGTGTACTTTACAAATTGGGAAACTGAGGCTTGTCAAGGTCTGGGGACTTGCCTCAGGTCACAAGCTGGGACGCCAGCCAGGATTCAGGACCCCAAGCCCCTGCCCTGCTGCTTTGCCAGTGGGTCTCAGCCTCCGGTCCTCGCAGCACCCACCAGGAAGTATGTGGGGGTGGACAAAATCCAGACTTAACCCCCAAGTCTAGTAGATGCTCAATTAAAAGCATCAGGATTGGACGTGTCCTCTGGGGTTCTGCTGCATGGCTATGGAACAGGAGTACCGGCTCCCTACAGAGTAAGTTCAGGAGCTCCCAATGCCCAAGCCCATGCCCCTCTCCCAAACCTTGCCCCTCTGACTCACAGGACCCTGCACCCTCAGTGTTGCCAGCCACCTGCACATTCCAGAGGCCCTAGATTGCACCCAGTAGCCATTGAGAAGCCAGAGCTGGGTGTTTCAGATGCCATCCATTTCATCCCCAAATTACTCTCCCACGCGGGAGGATGTGAAGCTACCCTTTGTCACCAGATCAAATCACTTCCACCACAGAGCTGCTAAAAATACATCTCCTGAGCCGTCTCCATGGACTCCCCCGGGTCACTCTAGTGAGGTCTGGGAGTGGAGTCTTGCCAGGGCCCACGGCAGACCAAGGATTCCCATCATCCTCCCATGGCCTCTGGGTCCATTTCACTCTCCTCTGCTCAGCACCAAGGACTCCCAGCCCAAGGTGACCTCCAGCTTCACGTTCACCAACTTCTGCTTGATCACTTGGGACTTCTTGCTGCCTCCAGATCTCCCAATATTTCACCCACATGTTTGCAGGAGGGCTTCCCTGGCCTCCTGATCTAGCCAACTGTCCCTGTGAAACTCACTTTAAGAGCCACCTCCTCCTGGAAGTCTTCCTGGATTACCCCCACATATCAGTCCCCTCCCCAGCTGGGTTCAGTGCCTCCTCTGGCCCGTCATCACTGATTTGTGGCCCTCACTAGCCTGAGCATGTCATGAGAGCAGGGACCACACTCTCTAAACACCTCTATATCCCAGCACCTGCCACATGACTTGGCATCTGGAGAGAAGTTATTATCTCCATTGCCCCTGCAAAGCTACCAATCTCACCTGCATGCACTTTGGCAAGAGCCTACTCCTTTAAAGGAGCCCCTCAGAGAGGGAGACAAGGGCAGAGGGAACCCAGGCTGGGGGTCCAGAGACCCAGGCTGGATCTGCACACTCTGTACTGGCTGCGTGGCACGCACCTTCCTGGGCAGCCTCTATTCATCCGGGCCTATGTTTAAGCCTCGTAGCGGATACACCAATCAAGCTTTCAGCATCCAGCAGACAGGTCGTTTTCTAGAGCGCCCGCGACATCCCTGAGAACATTTCATTCTGTACACAGCGTTATCCACACGCCTGGGAAATTCCCCCAATTTTCTGCTCAAAAGCAAAAACGGTAAACACCAAGGCAACAAACGGCCAGTGCCCGGCTAGGGCTTATTTTTTAAATCAGTTCTGCAGTGGTGGGCGAGGTAAACACCCCGTCCTGCACACAACCTTTGCAATCTCATTTCTCTGAGTCAGCAGCTGCAGATCTTTGTCGACGCCGCAGATTTCTGAGCCAAAGCTAGCCAAGCACACATTTGGAAACGAAGCCTTAAACATTCATGGATCGAACCAAGCCCTTTGGAAGCACGAAGAGGTACTGATGTGGCTTCTGGGGTCTAACCGGCACTCACCGCAGAACTTCGGGAGGGATTATCAGCTGGTCATATTTAAGGTGTTCATGTAGCTCGCTCAGGTAGTTGAAATAGATGACTTTTTTCCCAAACTTGTGACTAAGAAAGCAGAAGCAAGAGAATAAAGAAACCATTAGGCACCAGCAGAGAGGCCGAGGGTTGCAGGGAGGGAGGGAGGGGGAGCTGGCGGCAGACCAATGCAGGCATTTTTCATGTTAAGAAAATGTAAACGCTGACACGACTTAAAACCCGAACAAGCAGCGCACGCCGGGAGATATTTTGCTTTCACGAGATCTCCAATGCACCAAACACTCTGGAGTGGCTCATCTGCATAAAAATAAATATCTGCCTCCAATTTACATCTGCCCTGAATTTGCATAGATATAGGAGATAGTGCGGAAGTGCCAAGAAGCGCTCTTGGGGGATGCAGGTTAGGCAGGGGGCACTACGGCACTGGCACAGACAACCTCTGAGGTTGACGCCTGCCCCAGGGCAGCCTCAGCTGCTGGTGGTTTTGGGGTCAGTGGTGGCTTCACATTTGGCCACCTCTTCTAAGGACAGAGATAAACGAGGTTCTCCAGCTTTGTCTCCACGACAGTCTCTGGGACCCCAGGGAGTAGCGCAGCCAGAAGGCCAGACATGCCCTGGCCTGGTGCAGCAACTCCGTTTCCTCCCTCCCCTTGTGCCCCAGGGCAATTCACTCCCTCTCAGGGCCTGGATCTGAAAGTGGGGGTTCCCCCTCCTAAGTGAGGGCGGAAGACAATGCAAGGCTATTTGCACGTCTAGTCCGCTGCCTGATGTCTGGTGGACATGCTTGCTGTGATGACTGCTATTAGTAACAAGGCTCAGCATGAATTGCAAAGTGGGGATCATTAACAGATAGATGTGAGCATGCCTTTATACAGAAGCCTGTAATCCTCCCCTTCTTTACGACAGTCTAGGTTTAGTTTTTGTCATACATATATCATTTGAGTATTATTTTGTAGGACACTATTATTTCCTTATTGTATATGTTTAAGATATACAACTTTTTTCCCCCCGCCGAGATGGAGTCTCGCTCTGTCACGCAAGCTGGAGTGCAGTGGTGCGATCTCGGCTCACTGCAGCCTCTGACTCCTGGGTTCAAGTGATTCTCCTGCCTCAGCCTCCCGAGTAGATGGGATTACAGGTGCACACCACCACTCCTGACTAATTTTTGTATTTTTAGTAGAGACAGGGTTTCTCCATGTTGGCCAGGCTGATCTTGAACTCCTGACCTCATAATCTGGCCAGTTCGGCCTCCCAGAGTGCTGGGATTACAGGCATGAGCCACTCTGCCCAGCCAGGATATACAACTATTAATGTGGGTAAAGAATTATACTGTTACTGGAAAAGGAAAGTTATGTATTCGGCCAAACCGAAGATATTTTATGTTATTTTATGACAATTTGAAAGTCTTAAAATAAGTATTCATGTATTTTCAATGTTATTTTGTGAGATCAAAATAATTCAAGTTACCATTGCAAAAATAAAAAATACGGAGATCATCACAGGTAGGAGGATCCAAAGGGACAGCGCCAGCCCAACGCTCAGCCCCAGCCCAACGCTCAGCCCAACGCTCAGCCCAGTGCCAGCGCCAGCGCCAGGTTCCCAAAGGAGCCCCAGGGAGGCCGAGCTGTGTGTATTGGCTCCCCCTAGTGGACGAGAAAGAATCGGACCTGGGGGCTGGGGGAGTGGGGTGGGGACTGCCAGGTTTCTGTATTCAAGGACGCTGCCAGGTAGGAGGCCAGGGAACCCGGGCTGACGGCTGGGGCTCCAGAATAGTCACCAAAGTGCAGTGTGCCCCTCACACCAAACACAAGGGGAGGGAGGAAAGCGGGGCCTGCCTTAGTCCTCGCACCCCAGCCCCCCGGGGGAAGGGGCTGGTGGGACCCCTGCAGGAGTGTCCTCACCGCCTGCCCATTTAGACTCCACAGGACTCGGGGACAGTCTGGTCTCTGCCGGAAGGCTGCCAGAGGCTCTTCCCGGGGCTGTAAAGTGCTGTCAACGTCCTGTGTGATGGGCGGAAGGAACCCACTAAGGGCCAAGGGAGCCTTGCCCGTCTGCAGTAACCATTCTCAGGGACAGAGGTGCCCGCTTCAGAGCTGCAGGGAGGCCTCCCCTGCCCAGCCCCTCACCTTCCTCTCTGCAGCCTCCCCGACCCCTCCTGCAGGCCAGGCTCTGCCGAACATGGACTCGGGGGCAGGCGCAGCCAGAGCCCTACCACTTGCCTCTCCCTCTCGGGAAAGGGCCCACAGGCCAGCTCAGCCAGGGACTCCCAACACGGCGGGCGGCAGTCACTGGGGTTCTGGTTAGAGTCGCAGCCACAGGCACCACCTGCGGGGGTGTGAGTCGGGAGGTCTGGGCCAGACCCAGGGCTCTTTTGTGTGTGGGCGTTTGAGAGCCTCAGAGGTCCTCCACTTCATTTACAAATGAAGACTTGGGGAAGAGAGATTATGTGGCTGCCCAAGACCTCACAGGCAACGGGCAGCAGAGCCCAGTCTGGGCTCCAGAGTCCCAGCCCAATTCCTGTGGTCCTCTCCTGGCAGCTGCTTATGTCCAGGCACGAGGCAGGATGAGGGGCAGAGTCACACAGGCTGGGGTTGGATCCCAGCCCACGCCCCTCCTCCTGGTGCGACCCTGGGTGTAACCTCTCTGAGAATCAACCTCTTCTTCTTTGAAATGGGGAAAATGTGGCTGACTTCACAGTACTATTTTGCAGTGCCTGGCACATAAGGTGCATAAGATATTGGAATCAAATAAATACAAAAGGGTAGTTTAAAAAGTTTTTTTTCCTTTTTTTGAGGAGGAGTTTCACTCTTGTTGCCCAGGCTGGAGTACAATGGCACGATCTCGGCTCACTGCAACCTCTGTCTCCTGGGTTCAAGCGATTCTCCTGGCTCAGCCTGCTGAGTAGCTGGGATTACAGGTGCCCGCCACCACGTGCTGCTAAATTTTTGTATTTTTAATAGAGACGGGGTTTCGCCATATTGGCCAGGTCGGTCTCGAACTCCTGACCTCAGGTAATCTGCCCACCTCGGCCTCCCAAAGTGCTGGGATTAAGGGGTGAGCCACTGCTCCCAGCCAGCTTAAAAACATTTTAAAACAGGGCCAGGTGAGGTGGCTCATGCCTATAATCCCAGCACTTTGGGAGGCCAAGGCTGAAAGATTGCTTGAGCTAAGGAATTCAAAATGAGCCTGGGTAACATGGCAAAACCCTGTCTCTACTAAAAATACAAAATTTAGCTGGGCATAGTGGCATGCCTGTAGACCCAGCTACTTGGAAGGCTGAGGTGGGACGATCACCTGAGTCCAGGAGTTCAAGGCTACAGTGAGCTGTGATGGCACCACTGCACTCCAACCTGGGCAACAGACTGAGACCCTGTCTCAAAGCAATGAAACTAAACAAAACGACGACGACAAACAAAAAACACAGTACTAGCAACTAACACTGAGTATTTGCTAGTGCCTGGCAGGCCCTATTCTAAACAGTCAACATGGCTTACTCCTATAATCCCAGCACTTTGAGAGGCTGAGAAAGGAGGCCAGGAGTTCCAGTCCAGACTGGGCAACATAGCAAAACCCTGTCTCAACAAAAAAATTGTTTTAGACTAGCTGGGCATAGTGGTGCGCACCTGTAATCCTGGCTATGTGAGAGGCTGAGGTAGGAGGACCACCTGAGCCCAGGAGGTTAAGGCTGCAGTGAGCCATGATTGCACCACTGCACTCCAGCCTGGGTGATGGAGCAACACCCTATGAGAAAAAGAGAGAGAGATAAAAGGAAGGAAGGAAGAAAGGAAGAAAAGTAAAATAAACACTGTATATGTATTAAGTCAGTGAATTATTGTGACAATGGAATGACTTAAGTAGCCTTGCCAGCCACATGGGGAAACTGAGGCAGAGAAGGGTTGCCTCTCTTGTTGAGGGTAATGGACGGCAAGGGTCAGAGCAGTCAAGCCCAGGCAGTCTGACGCCATCACCACCATGCCGTCCAGGCTGCCACATGGAAAACAAGAGGAGAAGGTGAACTTTTTTTTTTTTGAGACAGTCTCGCTCTTGTTGCCCAGGCTGGAGTGCAATGGTGCAGTCTCAGCTCACCACAATCTCTGCCTCCCGGATTCAAGTGATTCTCCTGCCTCAGCCTCCCAGGTAGGTGAGATTACAGGCATGCACCACCACATCCGGCTGATGTTTGGATTTTTAGTAGAGATGGGGTTTCACCATGTTGGTCAGGCTTGCCATGAATTCCCGACCTCAAGTGATCCGCCCATCTCAGCCTCCCAAAGTGCTGGGATTACAGGTGCCCGGCCAAGCAGGTGGACTTTTTTCCCAAGAACCTTAGAGGTTTCCAGAGCTCCAAGTGCAACAAAGTCGGACTCTGCCACCCAGGCTGGAGTGCAATGGCGCTATCTCAGTTCACTGCAATCTCCGCCTCTTGAACTCAAGCAATCCTCCCACCTCAGCCTCCTGAGTAGCTGGGACTAAGGTACGCGCCACCACACCTGGCTGATTTTTGTCTGTTTTGTAGAGGCGAGGTTCCACCATGTTATCCAGGCTGGTCTTGAACTCCTGGGCTCAAGTGATCCACCTGCCTTGGCCTCCCAAAGTGTTGGGATTACAGGCGTGAGTCACCATGCCTTGCCCTCTAAGGATTTTTCTTTTTCGAGACGGAATTTAGCTCTTGTTGCCCAGGCTGGAGTGCAATGGCGTGATCGTGGCTCACTGCAACCTCTGCCTCCAGGGTTCAAGTGATTCTCCTGCCTCAGCTTCCCAAGTAGCTGGGATTACAGGTGCCCAACACCATGCCCGGCTAATTTTTTGTATTTTTAGTAGAGACGGGGTTTTGCCATGTTGAGCAGGCCGGTCTTGAACTCCTTACCTCAGGTGATCCACCTGCCACAGCCTCCCAAAGTGTTGAGATTAAAGGGGTGAGCCACCGCGCCCGGCCCCTCTAAGGACTTTTCTAAGGTAAATGACAGGACTAGCTTTTTTGCTATGTCAAATATGTCACACGTCACATAGGGCACAAGGGTGCTGGGCCTGGTTAAACACAAACAAAACCTCACCTTCCGATAGGGGAATGTGTGCAGCACAGGCCACTAGGTGAGAAAAACTGTCAGGAAATTCTAGTGACACGAAAGGAGCTCTTTGGCCACAAAAATCTCTCCGTAGATTAAACAGGAGCTGACTCAAGCCTGCTGCTCTGCCAATTCTCCCAGTGGGTCTCGGCGCCACACAATTCAGTCCCTGGAATGACAGCTTTGGTAGCTGATAAGAAAAGAAGGCCAGGCGCGGTGGCTCATACCTGTAATCCCAGCACTTTGGGAGGCCAAGGCAGGCAGATCACCTGAGGTCAGGAGCTTGAGACCAGCCTGGCCAACATGGTGAAACCCAGTCTCTGCTAAAAATACAAAAATTAGCCAGGCATGGTGGCAGGTGCCTGTAATCCCAGCTACTTGGGAGGCTGAGGCAGGAGAATCGCTTGAACCCGGGAGAAGGAGGTTGCAGTGAGCCAAGATCACACCATTGCACTCCTGTCTAGGGGACAAGAGCAAGAGTTGGTCTCAAAAAAAAAAAAAAAAAAAGAAAGAAAAGAAAGGCTCCAAGCTGCCTGAAAGGGCAGTTCTCTTTTTTTTTTTTTTTCCTGCAGCCTTGAAATCCTGGGCTCAAGCAATCCTCCTGCTTCAGCCTCCCATGTAGCTGGGACCACAGGCGCATGCTACCACATCTGGCTAATTTTTATATTTTTTATAGAGGTGGGGCTCACCTTCTTGCCCAGGTCAAACTCCTGGGCTCAAGTGAGCCTCTTGCCTTGGCCCCCCAAAGTGCTTGATTACTGGCATAAGCCACTGTGTCTGGCTGCAGAGTAGCTCTCGATGTGCCCCCCAAGGACCAGTGCTTGCCAATATTCCTCTGAGTGCCAGTCACAGTAAGAGACAAAGGGACACAGGGACAAGGGTGGGACGGGGCAGCGTAGCCCTTGGGGCGGCAGCTGGCTGGTGGGGAGACAGGCAGGTGCCTGAGAGCCTGAGCTGTCCATGCTCCTGGGGGGCCAAGATGCTTCCCAGGGATGGATGGGAAATGGAAAAGAGACAGAGTGCGGACTCCGAGGTCCCAGCTGGCATTCCAGCTCTGTCCGAGTGCTCCCTTTACACGGAGTGTCACACCCACTTGCACGATGTCTGTGGGGCGTGAGGAAGAGACCTGTGTCAGCAGCAGCCTCAGAGCCACGTGGGTGGGCTCCAACAGGTGGAAGGAGCTGAGGGGGGAGCTGGCAAAGGTCTGTGAGATTCAAACCTCTGGGGAAGAATGACGACCCCTCCAGGGATGTGCCTCCCTGTGCCCAAAGGCTACTTCCCAGGGAGGCCCTCCAGGAGTCCTCCTGCCCCCTCACAGAGGCAATCACCTCACCCGAGTATCCTGACGCATCTGGTGCACACCGGGGCCCTCCTGCTCTGAGCCCCTCCCTCGCCTGCAGAAGTCACCCAGGCAGGGCCAGAGCCACCGTGCCAGAACGACATCTGTCAGTCTCTTCCCCACCCCACCCCCGTCATGTGGCTCCGTGCACACAGTTTGTGCCTGATGCATACAGCCCAAACGGAAGAAAATACAGGACGCCCAGGTGACCCAGGCAGAGACCCCCAGCCCTCACCAGCCCCTTGAGCTCCTGCTTCCCAATACTGAGGCAGAAATCCTTCAGCAGCAACGAGCCTAAATATGGAAGAAGCTGACTGAAGTCGCCACATGTCCGGGCTGTGGCTGCCTCTCTTTAGGCCGCTTATTTGGGTTGCTATGCAATAAAAGCTTAACTCAGCAGGCTTGGGGTGTCCAAGCCCTGCCCATTCCAAAGAGAAGCCTGGCCATGGGCGACCTGCTCCTGGGTGGAAACCTCTCAGCCCCTGGAAGAGTCAGCCTGGTCATGTCTTTGCACACTGGAGGCCTTGGGCCAACACCACAGAGTTTGTGCCAAAAATGTGATTGAGGGTGGGGGCCTTGGGCTGTATTCATCTCATCTCAGGAGGGGCTGGCGACCGAGTGACTGAGGTCAGCTGGGTGGATACTCCGTGCCTACATGACTGATCTGCAACAAAAACGCTGGGCACCAAGGCTCGGTGAGCTTCCCTGGCCAGCCATGCTCCCTCCTCCTCCACACGTTCTTGCTGGGAGAGTGGAGCACTGTCTGTATGAAACCGCCTGGAGAGAACAGCTGGGAGCTTGCACTTGGACCTCCGGGACTCAGCCCTGTGTGTCTTTTACCTTTGCTGACTTAAATCTGTGCCCTGTCTCTGTAACAGACCACACCAGTGAAACTAACGGCTTTCCTGAGATCTGTGAGTCCCTCTGGAAATTCACGGAACCCGAGGGTGGTCGCACAGTGTAGGGGCTCAGGTCAAGGCAGGGGGCTAAACACCAGGTGCAAACCCCACAGGTGTCAAAGGCCAGCCACTCCTGTCCATGACCTGGGCCGGCCTTGTGACCCCCCGCAGACCCCCAAGCGGGTGGGGAGCCCCAGATCCACAGGCACCCTGGAGACAGGCCCTCCATGGCACGTGGATAGGGAAGGCCGTCCCACGGACACTGAGGGACCTCCAACCCCAGCGGGATCCTCTCCCACAGTCACGCACACCTGATGAGCGGCTTGAAGATGTTCCACAGGACCTTGATGAAGCTGGTGGGGTGCACGACGTAGAGGGCCTTCAAGTTCTTCTTGTATCTGAGGAGGGAAACGGGAGATGACTTCAGGCTGCCAGGCTCCGAGAAACACCCCACGCCCAATAGCCCAAAAAAAGCTGCCTCCACTGTGAGTCTCAGAATGTTATTTCTCTCAACGGGATCAATTTAAGGGCAACAAACAAAGAATGAAATAAACTCAGCGAAAATCAGGACTCCTCACCCATTGTCCCCGCCAGGCACGCCTGTAGCCCTTTACAGTTCGCAGAGGCACACGTGCAGGTCGGAGCCCTGTTTATAGGCACTCACTCACACCAGGGTGGGGTGGGGGTCTGGAGCACAACCTGGGGGCAATCTGGAAACAGCTCTCAGAATTAAAACCGCACAGAGCCTCTTGGCCAACACCTCCCCTGCCGGGAGCTGACCCGGACCAGAAGGAGCTCGCCATGTTGGTTATGATGGCAAAAAAACCCGGCAATAACCTAAACGTCAGCCGGCCAGAGGCTGGTTCAATGCAACAGCCGCCCACAATGGAACACCAGGTGAGCTTCCCTCTCTCCCTCTTCCCAGTCCCAACACTTCCTTCTTGAATATTTCAGCCCAAAACCATCAGGTTGGGCAAGAAAGGTACCTCTAGCGACGGGGAACTCACCACCCCTGCAGACACTCCACTTTTGGGTAGTTTGATGTCTAGAGTGTCCCTCCTTTTTGCTTCTACTGAGCCAAGATCTGTAACGTTAACCCTAACCCCACCCCTATCCACCCTCCTGGGGAGTGGCAGAGTCACACAGAACAAGTCCGCCTCTTTCATCTGATGACTTGAAGGCCACAGCTGTCACGTTCCTCTCTTCCCTGCCTACTCCCCTTTGGCCAAGGTTAAATGATCGCCGATTGGAAGTCACTACTTCAAGTCTCCCCACCTGCGTGGCTCCGCTTATCAATGCCCTTCAATGTGGGAGCCCTGACAGCCTCCCCAGGTTGCGGCAAGGCCGGCCTCCTTCCCCGGGCTGGTGCTTTGTCACTGTTCACAAGTCCCTGCTGGCAACACAGATTCCAACTCGCCAGCCAGATTTCATACATTGACCACTGGCACATCTTACCTGGATGTTAAGGAATTCTGCTGCTGTCTCTCAAGCAGGAATGACCCATTCCTGATGTGCGATCCGGCAGCCCCCTCGAGAAAGGGAAGGGAAACCACCTGGGCTGACTTCGGGTTTGTTTCTCTGAGCTGATTTCTAGCAACTGAGAAGTGGGGGAGGCACCTCAAGGAATCTGGGGTGCATCTTCGATTGTCACGTGGGGAAGTGCAGAGGGCAAAACCTTCAGCTGCTTTAGCTCAAGACAGGGCTACTGTGCACATCCTGCTGTGTCAGCCTGAGCCACCTGAAAGGGCTGCTTTAAACATATCACTCACCTCTCCTCAAGCACCTGCCATGGCTCCCTGCTGCCTCTTAAACACAGTCCAGCATCCTCTGTGCCCCTCCCTCCTTTGCTGCCTTCCTCCAAGGCTCCCCACCAACTGCACCAAAGTCCACCCTGCTCTTTCTTGCACCTGGCCATACCTCATACCAGAAACAAAATCCAGTGATTGCCACTTCGTGACACCCTGCCCACCACTCCACGGGCAGCTCAAAGGCTGCCTCCTCCATGCAGCCTTCCTGATTATGCTGGCTGGAACCTTGGTAACTTCTGCCAGTACCACTTCACTCCTCCATCCTCCCATCTAACGCTTATTAAAAGCCTGCCAGCCGGACACACTGGCTCACGGCTGTAATTCCAGCACTTTGGGATGCCCAGGCAGGCGGATCACGAGGTCAGGAATTCAAGACCAGCCTAGCCAACATAGTGAAACCCCGTCTCTACTAAAAATACAAAAATTAGCCGGGCATGGTGGCTCACGCTTGTAGTCCCAACTACTCGGGAGGCTGAGGCAGGAGAATCAGTTGAACCTGGGAGGCAGAGGTTGTGGTGAGCCGAGATCTCGCCACTGTAATCCAGCCTGGGCAACTGAATGAGACTCTGTCTCCAAAAAAAAAAAAAAAAAGCCTGCCATATGCAGACCCTTTCCCACCTGCAAGGGATGCAGAGACAGGTCAGGGGTCACAGCCTAGTGAAGGAGGCAGACCCATTCACAAACCCCTAAGTGTTAGGATTGGTGCCTGCTCAGGGACAGTGAGGCTGCAGGGGAGGGGCTATTGATTCTCCCAGGACAACCCAGGAAGGCTTCCTGGAGGAGGACATGAGCTGGGGCTAGGCCATACTCCAGCTCATACAGGTGCCCAGTAAATGACTACAAAATGCAGCAATAATTCTTTGCCTAAGACATGGGACAGGGAACCAAGAAGTCCCTCTAAAGGTCCTATTGATAATGACAGCAGGACCCAAAAGGCAATTGGAAGAAGGACTTCTGGGACAATCAGGTGCTGCCTCCCACTGTCCCATTGACTCAGGTATCTGTGAAGCAGATTTCTATTACAGGTTTGAAAAGACTTCGAAGAAGGAAAACCCAGAGGAATCTAGCATATCCACATCAACGCCCACCGCCGCAGTCTACGAGCCAGATATATTGCAAAGTTGACTGCTAGGCAGGACGTCCCTCAGGAAAAGTCCACCGACTCCAGGCCATGGACGAGTGGTGAGTAGCATGGGGTGGGGGAGGGGGGCGGGGGCCTGGGGTGGGGTCCTGCCCTACCACACCCAAGCTGAGTGACCACAGGTAAGTCACTTGCTCTCTGGGGCCTGTGTGCCCATCTGTAAAATGGAACTGCCCATCCTACCAATAGTAGGCATCGGAATGCCCCTTGCAGGCCGTAAAGGGCTGTGCAGGCAGGAAGTGGGGTTAGTGAAGAAACAGTCACGCAGTTGTTTCTTTGCCAGTAATTCACTGGACCAGGGGTGGGCGAAAGGGCACGCAGGACGAACCCGGCCTGCTTCAGTACAGCCTGCAAGCTAAAAACGGCTTTTTGTGTTTTTAAGTGGTTGAAAAAGAAACAGAAGATTTCATGACAGGTGAAAATGACATGAAATTCACATTTCAGTGTCCATAGCGTTTTACTGGAACATGGTCCAGCAGAGTTGTTGCAATAGAGTGACTGGCCTGCAAAGCTAAAATACTGACTGACTAGCCCTTTAAGAGCAAGGGTGCCAGCTTGGCGTGGTGGCTCACACCTGTAATCCCAGTACTTCTGGAGGCTGAGGTGGGAGAATCGCTTGAGCCTGGAGTTCGAGACCAGCCTGGGCCACACAGTGAGATCCCCATCTCTACAAAAAAATACAAAAACTAGCTGGGTGTGGTGGTGCGTACCTGTAGTCCCAGCTACTCAGGTGGCTGAAGCAAGAGGATTGCTAGGGCCCACTGAACTCCAGCCTGGGTGACAGGGCGAAACTGTCTGTCTTTTTATTTTATTTATTTTTGTATTTTTAGTAGAGATGGGGTTTCACCATGTTGGCCAGCCTGGTCTGGAACTCCTGACCTCAGGTGACCTACCCACCTTGGTTTCCCAAAGTGCTGGGATTACAGGCATGAGCCATGGTGCCTGGCCGAGACCGTCTCTTAAAAAAATAAATAAAAATAAAGGAAAAGAAAGAATCCTCTGCCCGGGATTCCAAAGTCTTAGCCCAGAGGGGAGATGAACCCCCACTGCCCCACGTTTGCTCACCCCCTACCCTCTGCCCTTCCAGGCCCCTTCCCCACTGCATACTCTGTGAGCACTTGTGGCCACAATGCCTCCTCCTGCCACACCTAGCCCACACCCATGTCCCTGAAAGCTTGCGGGCACGCACTTCCTGTCGAACTCCTTGTATGCGCTCTGGAGCCAGCCCAGGGACGGCTTGTTCCGGCTGTTCAGCCCGTAGTGGAAATAGACGATGGTATAATCGTTCTCGACGTACTGGTCCAGCGTGTACTTCAAATACCTGGCATAACACAGAAGATTCAGTTATGAAAATCACCTGGCCGGCGCGGTGGCTCACGCCTGTAATCCCAGCACTTTGGGAGGCCGAGACGGGTGGATCACGAGGTCAGGAGATCGAGACCATCCTGGCTAACACGGTGAAACCTCGTCTCTACTACAAAATACAAAAACTAGCCAGGCGAGGTGGCGGGCGCCTGTGGTCTCAGCTACTCGGGAGGCTGAGGCAGGAGAATGGCGTGAACCCGGGAGGCAGAGCTTGCAGTGAGCCGAGATCCGGCCACTGCACTCCAGCCTGGGCGACAGAGCGAGACTCCGTCTCAAAAAAAAAAAAAAAAAAAAAAATCACCTGCTCATTATTGAAATCCAACGTTTCCTACAACGGCAGCTGTGGTCACCGAGTGGGTGCCAGCACTGGGCCACACGGAGACTCCATGCACCGTGGGCCCCGGTCCTCATTTCCCAGATGACCTCTGAGGCTGAGGCGTTAAGTGACTTACCTAAGGTCACACAACTAGTAAGGGGATGTGGTAGGCGAAAATATGGGCCGTGGAAAGAAATCTTTATCAAATCCGTGGAACCTGAGAATATGACCTTATCCGGGAAAAAGGTCTTCGCAGGTGCAATTAAATTTAGGACCTTGAGAGGAGGGGCTCATCCTGGACTACCCAGGCGGACCTTCGGAGCAATCACATGCATCCCTCTCAGGCAGACGTGAAGATGAGAAGTCAGAGGGCAGAAGGTCGCGTGAAGACAGAGGCAGAGCAGAGCGTGACGTGGCCACCAGCCCTGGAAGGCCCAGGACTGCCGACAGCCTTCATGGGCTGGACAAGCAAGGAAGGGATTCTCCCTCCGCAGGGAGCACGGCCCTGCCCACACCTTGATTGTGAACTTCCGGCCTCCAGAACGGTGAGAGAATACGCTTCTTGTTTCACGCCACCACATTTGTGGTCATGGTTACGGCAGCCCCGGGAAACGCACGAGGAGGATGAGCTGGGATTCGAACCCAGGAATGCTTGACTGCTCAGCCCTTGCCGTTAACCCCAATACCACAGGCCCTTCTACTTCAGACGCCCTGCTGCTTGCTGCATTTCTAAGGCAAGCAATTCCCTCTTTCCAGGTGAGCTTCTAACATTTTGCTTTTCATTATAAAGTGAGAGTCCTGACACTGCTCTGCGTCTGTCACCTGCCACCCCCTATGGTGTAGGCTCTACCCACTTCCCATGGACCACGTTCCATCCTGCCCTGCTGCACCGAGGAAGCATTGTCTTCATGTCACCTGTGGGAAAGGGCTTGGCCTGCCATCTGCAGGAGGAAGGGCTGCAGAAGGACCTCCTAACCCTCCATCGGCACTCTGCAGGGTCTGACACTGAGCCGGTCAGGCCATGATCCCTCAGCTCAGGTTGTCCAGGTTCTCACCTGGAGCACATCTTGTAATTAATCCACCCAGGTGGTCCCGCTCTCTGAGGCTGTGGGCGGGGTGCTCTGCAGACAGATGCCCCCAGAACTGCCTCAGGAGAAAGCCCCAGCTGCCTGTGCCCATCTGCAGATGCTCGGCCGGTCTTGCACTGCCCAGAAGCCTGGAGACCAAGGATGCCAGCTTCTCCTGTGTGCATCTGATTTATAAGCAACGTCAGAGTGCCCTCTGTCAAAAGCCCAAATCACCTGAACTGCAGGCCTTCTACACATTCAGTTCTCTCAATGACCTTAGCAGGCAGGTACTATTATTTCCATTTTATAGACAAGTCAACTGAGGCTCAAAGAGGTGAGGCAGTAAGGGGCAGAGCTGGGCTTCGAACCAAGCAGCTTGGCTCCAGCGTCCACATACTCAGCGTCTCTGAGAGCCATGGGCTGCCATCCACGCCTGCTCCCATCCCATTGTCTGCTTTGATGTGGAGAAATCACGCACATCTGACCTCACACCATGCGTGATTTCAGATCACCCGTGGTGGAAGTAACTTCAGCACTCATCTTCCAGCGCATTGCCTGTCTTGAACGCCATGTGGGCTAAGCCACTGGGGCACACTTTGCCAAGGTCATCCTTTACTGAGTCACTGTCTCAGAAGACCAGGTCGAGACTTCCACCTGAACACAGAGGGATGGAAGAGTCCCCGAGCCACTGAGAACTTCTCACTCCTCCTCACTTCTCAGGGTAGTCACTTTCGCATTTCGCAAATGACTTTTTGGAGAAAGGGAAACTGAGGCCAGTGTCTCTGCACAGCTTATCTTCCCACTCTGGACGCCTCCTCGTAAAAGCAGGAACCCTTCCTCTGGCCCCAGTGCTGGGCTCCTCCGGGTGCCTTCTGTTCAGTGTGCTAAAATCCTCTGGGTGTCAACGTATCTGCCCACGTGCTCAGCACAGGAAGTCATTAACTAAATTACCAGTTGAGTTTCAAAGACAGACTCGTTTCTTCATCCACTTCAAAAATAGGAGCATGCATCTGGCCACAGAAAAGCCATCCGGTTGAAATGGATAGGGAGGATAACGTACGGAGTGTTTTTTTCATAAAGGCTGCAGAGAAGGCTAAGCCTGATGGCCCTTATCAAGGCCAGAAGCCCACAGAGCACCTTTACATGAGTTAGAAAAAGATGCGTTTTCCTCTGGGAAGATGCTTGTCCCACACTGAGTGAAAAGAGTATCAGCTGATGGTAGCTTCTCATCTGGTTGGCCTTGTGCAGTGAACAACCTATACAACTGTTCATGGAAGCCATGCTTACTAGTTCCACCTAATAGTAAAAGAATCTTGGATAAGCACATAAAAGAGCACAAGGTACCAATTTGTTGTCAGGGGTGCTTTTTGTCCAATGGAGTTGAAATTCACATAACATAAATTAACCATTTTAAAGTGAACAATCCAGTGGCATTTAGTGTATTCACAAAGTTGTGACAGCCATCTGAGGGCCCATGAGTCAATCTAGTTTAGGTTAGCCTTTCACTCTGAACACCCGGTCTGTGCTGAATATACAACTTTAGTGATGGAGAAGGGTGTGCACGGGAGGGGGTGTGTGCATGAGGGGAGGTGTGTGCACGGGAGGGGGGTGTGTTCCATGAACAGGTGTGTGGGCACGGGAGGGGGTGTGAGCATGGGAGGGCATGTGTACATGGGAGGCCAGAAGTTCCCCTGCAGCCTCCAGGGGGAGTGCAGCCCTGTCGCTGCCTTGACCTTGGAGACTGGTGCCCTCCAGAACCAAGGAAGGTCCACTCAGGGCATTTTAAGCCGCCAAGCATGTGGTCTTTGGTTAAGGCAGCCACAGGAAACTCACAGCTCCGAAGGTGTTCCCGGACAGAGGCCCAGGGAGGTTTCAAAGGGACAGTGTGTGGGGGAGGTCTGGCACTTGGCAGCCATGTCATCTGCAAGGTTGGTCTACACCTAGGACCAGGGGACTGTCCCTAACTCCAAAGGGAGGCACCCACAGCTTGGGTGGCTAAAAGGAAACCAAACCTGGCTCCCACTGTGCTAACGAATGGTGCACGGAAGCCCAGGGACTGGGGGTGGCCACAGATGGCCCTCCAGTAGGCTTACGAGCGCAAGAGCTCTGCACACCAACAAGTTCACACAGGAGGCCCCAGAACAGAGCAGGTGACTCAGAGGGAAGTGGGGTGAAGGGATGGGTACAAGCAACATGGAAAGACAGGGACAGAAAGAGAGGAGCAGGACACTCACTCCAGCAGCCGCTGGTGGTCCAGCTCATGGGAGGGTGGCATCCGGCAGCAGCTGAACGTGACAACGCGTCTTCCAAAGCGGTCGTCCCCTGGAAGAGCAGACACAGGTGAGCCTCTGTGCCACCTTCTCCTAGAAAACCCTCGGGCACTTAGCAAAAAGCAGCCTCCTTGGCCAGCCCAGCCTGAGCTGGGAGGCACAGGCAGCAGCATTCCTAGAAGGCGACACCTGCTGAGTGAGCGTCCACCATCTGTGGCTTTACACACGTGGCCCAAGTTCATCTTCACGACCAGCCATACCCTGGAAATAATTTCCCCACTTTATAGATAGAAAACTGAGGCCCAGCAGGGTTAAGTCATCCGTGCAAAGCCAGCCGGCAGGCTGCACCAAAGACTTAAAACGAGACACATCTGACTTCAAAGGCAGGATGTAGCTTTCTGCCACGGTGGAGGCCAGCGTGGCCTGGGGGACAGTGGCTCTTGGGCATGACCTCATGTCGGGGATACAGGAGCCTTCTCAGGAGTACAGATGCTCAGTCCTGCCCTCTGTCATAGCCCGGCTACCCTGTGTCTCTTGACACATCTGTCTCGCCAACATGGACAGCTGCAGGGAGGGGCGCCCCCCACACATGGACAGCTGCGGGGAGGGGTACCCCTTGAGAGCTGGGACTGGGTCTGCTTATCTCTGTCCCCAGAATCCAGGCTCCGGGCCAGGCGCTTAGTGAGATAAAAAGACAGCACAGGCCGGGTGCAGTGGCTCATGTTTGTAATTCCAGTATTTTGGGAAGCCGAAGCGGGAAGATCATTTGAGGTCAGGAGTTTGAGACCAGCCTGGCTAGCATGGTGAAACCCCATCTCTACTAAAAATTCAAAAAAATTAGCCAGGCATGGTGGCACATGTCTGCAGTCACAGCTACCTGGGAGGCTGAGGCAGGAGAATGGCTTGAATATGGAAGGCAGAGGTTGCACTGAGCCGAGATTGCGTCATTGCACTCCAGCCTGGATGACAGCAAGACTTTGTCTCAAAGAAAAGATAGAACAGACTCCTGAAGGAGAGGGCCCTGCAGACCATCCTCCGTGCCTGCAGACACAGCTGCCCCTCCTCTCCCAGCCCCGACCCCGCCTTGCCCCACCCCACAAATGGCCAGAGGAGGTTGGAGACCTCATGGTTCAGACCCTCCTCCACTCTCTGCCCAGGGCCCTAACAGAGAGGACCCCCTGCGTGCAGGACACCCTCGGGAAGGCCCTGACAGTGACTCAAGTGTAGTCTGATGTCACCCCCCAACCCCCGGATTCCCCGCACTTTCTCATTCCAGGGCCACAGCTCAGGCACACGGATGGGCTGCCCCGCTTCCCAGCACCCACAGCTTCTTCATTACAATTAAACACACAAGGACACAGGTAAGAACAGCCTGTGGCACAACACGTGCCAAGGGTGAAAACGCGGCACAAAGGCGTGCAGGCAGTGGGGAGGGAGCCCAAACCCACATCGGGCTGTCGTCAGGAGTGGGGAACATGGAGACCCCTCCACTCTGGTCCACGAGGCCCCCACTGGCCGCCTCTCTGCCCCTGAGGACCTGGCCCAGCAGCCTTCCTTCAATTCTTCAAGTGCATCCTCCTACCCGAGCTTCCACCTGGAATGCTCCGCCACCTCCTTCCCGACTCTACACCGCTTCCCACTAAACCCCACCTCTTCAGGAAAACTGTTGCCCCCATCCACAATGCCCTTGGGCCGGTCTGTGGACATGCTGTTGCATATGGGAGCAGCTCCTCTGGCCACGAGCACAGAGACAGGGACTCCAACCCCAGTGGTGCGGGCCCAGGAGGGGTAATGTACAGGGAGAGGCCACACACAGCCTTGGTGGCTTTGAGGGCCCCTGGGGTTGTCCCTTCAAAGGGCTCTGCTCAACGCAGTAAACGGTTCGTTGGCCAAGGTTCCAGGCCCGGCACAGGTGCTGGGGGCTGTGCAAAGGGGCCCAGGCCCTGGCTTCTATGAGGGTGCCCATCTCCTAGGAGACCTTGGGGCACCCAGGGTGGGGGCTGGGGATGGGAAGCCTGGAGCAGGCTGCAGCCCCTCCTCCCAGCACTTTCTGCTCCCTCTTCCTTTCCTTACACAGGAGTGGGAGGACCCACATCTGCACCTTCCAGGACAAGAGCATTTGCATTTTTAAAAGTCCAGTTCCTCAGTGGCACCCGCCACATTTCAGGTGTCCAGCAGTCACGCGCAGTGGGGGCTGCCCTGGACAAGGCAGGGATGGAGTGTGTCCAGCATACAGAACATTCCACTGGGCAGCGCTGACCTCGAGGGTGCAGACTAGGGTGTAGACCTCAGGGAAGGGGCTATGGGACCGCTCAGTCTGCCTCTAACCCTGTGTAGTAGGGGAAGAGTGTCCCAGCCCAGCCCAAAAGAACACACAAGTCCCCCTGGATCCTCAGAATGTGACGCTGGAAACAGGGTCACCACAGATCTAATTAGCTAAGCATCAAGATAAGATTATCCTGGATTTAGGGTAGGCTTCAAATCTAATGACTGGCAGGGCACAGTGGTTCACACCTGCAATCCCAGCACTTTGGGGGCCAAGGTGGGAGGATCACTTGAGCCCAGGAGTTCGAGACCAGCCGGGGCAACATAATGAGACCTTCCTTGTCTCTAAAAAATTTTTTTTCGCCAGGTGCGGTGGCTCTCTCTTGTAATTCCAGCACTTTGGGAGGCCGAGGTGGGCAGATCACCCTAGGTCAGGAGTTCAAGACCTGCCTGGTTAACATGGTGAAACCCCCTCTCTACTAAATATAAAAAACTAGCTGGGCGTGGTGGTGCACGCTGGTAGTCCCAGTTACTCAGGAAGCTGAGGCAGAAGAATCTCGAACTCGGGAGGTGGAGGTTGCAGTGAGCTGAGATTGCACCAGTGCATTCTAGCCTGGGCGACACAGTGAGACCTTGTCTCAAAAAAAAAAAAAAAACTTATTGGCTGGGTGCGGTCGCTCACACCTGTAATCCCAGCACTTTGGGAGGCCAAGGCCAGTGGATCACAAGATCAGGAGTTTGAGAGCAGCCTGGCCAATATGGTGAAACCCCATCTCTACTAAAAAATACAAAAAAATAGCCAGGTATGGTGGGGGGATGCCTGTAGTCCCAGATACTCGGGAGGCTGAGGCAGGAGAATCGCTTGAACCCAGGAGACAGAGGGTGCAGTGAGCCAAGATCTCGCCCCTGTACTCCAGTCTGGGTGACAGAGCGAGGCTCTGTCTGAAAAACAAACAAACAAAAACTACGAATTGTTTAAATTAGCCAGTTGTGGTGACATGCGCCTCTGGTCCCAGCTACTCAGGAGGCTGAGGTGGAAGGATCACTTGAGCCTGGGAGGTCCAGGCTGCAGTGAGCTGTGATCGTGCCACTGCACTCCAGCCTGGGTGACATGGCAAGACCCTATCTCAAGAAGAAAAAAAAGTCATTACAACTGTTCTCAGAGTGTGTCCTTGGAATGAGAAGGGATGGCAGTGAGCTTTCTCGCCCCTCAGCTATGAAAGGTCATGAATCAAGATTCCACACTTGGCTGGGTGCGGTGGCTCACGCCTGTAATCCCAGCTCTTTGGGAGGCTGAGGTGGAGGGCTCACTTGAGCTCAGGAATTTGAGGCTGCAGTGAGCTAGGACCATGCCACTACACTACAGCCTGGGCAACAGTGAGACCCTGTCTCGTGAAAAAAATTTAAAAAAAAAAAGTACACACCTGCGTGCATGCATGTACCCACACGCACACTGGCATGAGTGCACACACACGCACAGCGTGCGAACTCTGATGTCCCCGCCCTGGCTGCCTGGCCAGGGGGCTGTTTTTTATTTAGGCCACGCATCCGATTCTTCCCGGGAGCCTGGAAGCTACTCTGAGGTTTGGAATCCTAGAGCAATCTCACAGCTTCCAAATACAGCATCCTCTTCATTTCACAGTTCCTTACGAATTCTGGTCACGCTTCCCATTTGTTTAGCAAGCTTCTGTTTTAAAGGGTTGCACTGTAAGCCACGCTTTTATTTGCTTCCCTTGCCAAGTGGGAGTTTTCAGGCAGAAAATCTTCAATGGCCACCCCTGAAAGTGGAGTGTTTTCCAGACAAAGTGTCTGCCACCGCGGAGGCCAGGGTTCCAATGCTGACCCAGAGCCTGTGCCCGCCCTCCTGTGGGATAAAAGCGGAAAGAACAACTTTGCTCCTAAAGTGATGAATCATTTATATGGCTACTGAAGAAACAAGGAGTCAAATCAATGCCTTTAGGGTTGAAAGAGAAAGATAACATCAGGATAAAAAATTTAAAAAAAAACTGAGTAGCATTATCACGTCTGGAATCAGAGCAAGTGCAAAAGTCTTGGGGGATGTGCTAGATAATTGGACCAATGGAAGATCAGCTCAACCAGCATTTGTTGGGGGCCTGCTGTGCACTCAGCTCTGGAGAGAGACACAGCCCCTGCCAGGCCCCAGGGTCCAGGGGAAAGGGATCGGGGGAAGTGGCAGGTCCACGCCCAGCCCCACAAGCACCTCTCTGGGAACCGTGGGAGCCCTGGCAGCCACACCCATCACCTACGTCTGCAACGGCTTTTATCTGGGCTCAGACCACCCTTCACAGGTTGAGGGCACCCGCACGAGAATGCCACCCACGCGTCTGGCCAGCTGGCTACAAATCTAAGGGTTCCCACAATCCCTCCCTGTTTGCTAATTTGCTAGAATGACTTGGAGAGCTCAGGAAGGCACTACACTAACAATTACAGTTTTATCACAAACGACACAATTCAGGACCGGCAACAGGAAGAGACGCGCAGGGTGGGATCTGGGAGCGTCCTGGCCACAGAGCGTCTGTGACCTCTCTCCCGTGGAGTCAGGAGGCCTCCCCTTTGCGCCCATCGTCATAGCATCACCAACCGGTGATGGCCGAGGGGCCAACGGAACCTCTGGAAATCCAGGGCCCCCACTGAAGCTTCATTTCATCGGTGGGACTGATGGAATCACAGGCCACAGAGTGAACTCAGCCTCCAGCCCTTCCCTTCCTGGAGGTCTTAGAGCCCCACCCCATGAATAACAAAGATACTCCTTTCACTTGAGAAATT